GGGAGAGAGAGGGACAGAGAGGGGGGAGAGACACAGAGAGAGAGAGAGGCCCAAAACAATACCTCAATTTTCGTTGAGGTAATAACTGTTACACTTAAAAGAATATATACTATGCTTTATTGCTGCAGATTATTTTCTCCCCAAGAAAGGTATATGTTGAGATTAACTCACATTTCATCTATGAGGTTCAATAAACAGAGCAGACAATCACCTGTTACGCAACCAATGATATGCAATTGAATGAATGACTTCAAGCCGGTTCACAAGTCATACACTCAGGTATTCCCGTAGGTAGCACATGAAAGATAAGAAACATTTGATACTGTACAGTGGACGATCTGCACACTTTTACACAACCGATGTTATACAAATAGGATTGTGACTTTAAGCTGGTTTTCCCAGACAAGTCTTAACACTGAGAGCTCATAGAAGTTACATACAGAAGATCATAAATACAAAAAAAAAAACTCTGAAATGTCAAGAGTTAATATAATGCAGAAGATATTCAGCTGCCATACCAACTATACAAAAAACGGGTGTGACTTCAAGCTGTTTTCCACATAGCATACACTCAGGCCTTACCACCGAGAGCAAGAAGAAGATACAGACAAAAACGAATATGTTTTCCTTCGGTAAACATAACAAATTCACCTTTAAATGGTGAAATTTATTTCTTCTCAAGAAATGTGCGTTAAGAAATCTCTGCTCTACAGATCCATCTCCCACCACTTAAAATCAAATGGTTGCCGTCGTGTTTGAGTCCCACAATGCACCTCGCCCAACATCACGTGATAGTTGTACCAGTCATCCAGGAAGCTGCAGTCCAGTCCCAAAGGTTCCAGCAGTGAAGTCACGTGTTGTTCAAACGCGCATGTGCCGTTGATGACGGGACCAAAGGGCTTTGGAATACCCAGGAACTTTCCAAGGACTAACATGTTCACCAGATTGGGGAAGGCCGCAGCTACATGTATAAAAAGCATAGTATTACAGTATTAGTAGGATAGTGTTTTAGACTTTCCAAACTGGATAAAAATTTTAATAAGTAAACGTTTCAGGTGTTGTTCTGGCACCCTTCATCAGTGAATGTCGGAACAACAACCGAAACGTTTGGTTATTAAAACTTTATCCAGTTTGAAAAGTCAAAAATACTATCTTACTGGTGCTTCCTTGCATGACTAATCTTCACAAACGTATTACAGTATTGTTTCCCTTCAGGAGACCATTTTTGGGGGCTACAATTTAAGTGTTTTAAGAATTGCCCGAAGTAAATGCACATCGACGTCTCGCATTGTCTCGCACTAAGATCTCGCGATAACTCAATACAGACGAACACTGCCATACCTGCGCGCCCTGGCGTATCGGCAGTAGGTTCTGTGACCTCCCGGTACAACTGCGGCAGGTAGACAATGTCCTCTTCTGTCAACCCCAGCTCCCTCTTCAGTATGTCTCGATTTTCATTGATGTGCCTCTGAAAAACATCAGTGGTGTCGTGTGGCGTAACGACAAAGGGTGCGGTTCGGAACCAAGAGGTCCCGAGTTCGAATCCTGCCATGCCACCGATCTTGTGCCCTTGGGAAAGGCACTTCACACGAATTTCCTCACTTCACTCAGGTGAAAATAAATATGTCTGTTGTCCGTTTATGCGTTTGTCTGTGTATGTGGCGGCATAAACATTAGTTGAAAAAAAATTGAGTGTGCTGTCGCCATACCTTGCAATAAATGTTGGAATGGAAAAAAAACATCAGAACAACGTCTAGATTGAAATTGGACAACCCAGAGCACTTTAGACAAACACTTCTAACTGTTGTCAGCTTATACTTACATAGCTGATATTTTGTGAACATCTTTGATGACCCCAGTGTGGGTCGTCAAGCATCGTTGAAAATCGTTGATTTTTAAAACAATCTAAAGATTTTTTAAAAAAATCTCAAGATTTTGAAAAAGATCCCAAGATTCTTTCGGACAATCTAAAACATCTCAAGATTCTTTGAAACAATCACAAGATTTTTCTACAGATTTTTGCTGTTTTAAAGAATCTTGAGATTGATTGTAAAAATTTTGAGATTGTTTCAAATAATCTTAAGATGTAACTAGAAAAGTAACATTTGCAAAGCAAATGCATAATGTTTACCTTCGGACATGGTCTGCCCTGTTAATTTTTACTCAAACATATTCACATACATGTAACACAGTTACTACTAGTATATGGTGACAGGAGCAGAGGAGACCATGAAGTTTGCAACATTATGTAACCCAACACCAGTCACCATGGTGACAGACGTCAACAAATCATGTCATTGGCCAGGTCAGAGGTTAGTGTTTGGAGAAGAGGATATTGAGTAGAAACAGTATGTTTTCCTTTGGTAAACATAATAACATGCCTTACCTGGTAAAGAGCGTTTTGCTGTCTTAAGGAGGAATCTTCCAGCAGGCTGTTGATGGTAACAGTTGCACTCTCCTCCAGACTGAAGTCCTGTATGGATTGAAGATATTCCTTTATAAATGTATTAAATGTTGTCAACAGAATATACTATACTACAGTTGTCCATAGATTCTTAATCTGACCATGGCATACACACAGACAGACACAACAGCAAGTCTCTCCTAGTTAAGTGGTAGACCTTGAGTTTCATCGTAGAAATATGATGATACTCACATGTGACTTGTCCCAGTGATCTAGCTGACTTTTAGACTGCCGCCTCTTGCCTACATGTAAATTGCACATTAACAGTGGTGTTGTGTTACAAATGTGTACATGGCTACAAAGGCAACAAATTCCGTGCCGAAGCCTGGTAACAGCGAGACAATTTTTTTTTTCATTTAGAATGTTTACCGAAGAAAAGCATATTGTTTTTATCAGTTTCTTCTTCTTCTCCAAATCAATAAGGTCAATGGCCTGAACCAGGCGTCTGTCACCATGGTAACTGGTGTTGGGTTACATCGTGTTGCAATTTTATAGCAGGAGTGATTTAGACTCCTGCCTGACCATATATGAGTACGAATTAACAGAGCAGACCATATGCGAAGGTAAACATTATGCATTTGCTTTGGAAATGTTACCTTTCTAGTCTTTTAGATATTTTAGTCATATACAGAGACTAGGTATTATAGTGTTTGGAGATCACACCTTGAAACAGAGCTGCTTCCCCGAATCCTCTGTCCCGTAATCCCTCCAGTATCCGGTAACAGACATCAGGGCTGGAGAGCAGCATACGGAATCCCTTAGAATTATGGTGACAAAAAGAAAAGAGATGAAATTGGTTCATCCTTGTCCTGCTGGCATTTTTTTCACAATATTTTTCAATAATTTAATGCCTTAATTAGGTCATAGACCCTTGACGTTTTTTTTGCCCTGCGGTAGCATAGTTACTTCCACATTCGTTGCGTTTCGCTGCAGTGTAATGCGCTGCTATGATAATTCATCTTACCTTCCCGTTTGTAGCAGGAACGAAGGTCATAAACTCGTCCACGTGACCGACTTCCAGCCAATCAGAGTGGAGTAGGACAGGCGGTTGGACTCTCTGCGCCCTCAGGAAATTCAGTAGTGTGTCCATCATTCGGCGGCCAGGATTCCCCCTTTTTGATGGTGACATATCAAGTGATTTTTTTTATTCCAACATTTGTGGAGTCGTGTGGCGCAACGGCAGAGTGTTCGACTCGGAACCAAGAGGTCCCGGGTTCAAGTCCTGAACATTCCGTCGATCTTGTGCCCTTGGGAAAGACACTTAACACGACTTCTCCCACTTGTACTGTTGCAATTTCAATAAATCAAATCAAATCAAACATTTCATGACTAGACATGGTGACGGCACACTCAAGTTATTGATATTATTTTATGCCGCCACCAAAACAGAGGACAAATACAGGACAGGACAATACTCATTGTCACTTGAGTCAAGTGAGGAAAATCCCAATTGAGAGCACAAGATCGGTGGCATGTCAGGACTCGAGCCCGGGACCTCTTGGTTCCGTTGCGCTACACAACCCCACAAGTGAAATTAAGCGGGCATACTTTCTTTCTAGGATACGTAGAAAAGTAAAGTTTCATTTAATTTAACTCTTGAAGGAGATAATGATAAAGTTCTTTCACAGATATAGTCATAGTGATTATTTATCTTCACTGCATTTGAGACATATAATGTTTGTATGTATGTATGTATGTATGTATGTATGTATGTATGTATGTATGTACTGTTATAATGTTTGTATTTTACAATGTATGTAAGGGGACTTTAGGCAGAATAGTGGCGTATTGTCACTTATTGGAGATTCCCGAAATGAACAAACAAACAAACAAACAAAAACAAACAAACAAACCTTGCCGAAGAAGAGCCGACGAGGATTCGCCCGAGTGGATACTCCACTCCGTTCACCTTGACAGGTGGGCTGACTTCAAGGTTACCGAAGGAATCCAGCGAGGTCGGTTCTTCTCCTAGCTGATAATGATTGAAGTATCCAAAATCTGGTCCCTAGGAAAACCAATAGAAATAGTGAACATTCGCAATATATTCATGTAGACATATCATAGGTTGTGTCAGATGATCTTTTCAATTTTATTAGCACTTCTTCAATTTTCCAGAATCACGTCGCCAAAAATGCTACGTCTGCTAACCTACGCTTTGGCCTCCCTAACATATGAATAAGGCAATGCTTAGAATTAGCGTTTCCTGAAGGAATTCAACAAAAGTAGAACTAGAAAGGTAAAAAAAAGCAAATGCATAATGTTTACCTTTACTTATGTTCTGCTCTGTTACTCAAACACATATATGTATGGTGACAGGAGTCTAAATCCCTCCTGTTATAAATTGCAACATGCTGTAACCCAACATCTGTTACAATGGTAACAGACGTCTGGTTCAGGTCATTGACCTTATGTGTTTTGGAACGGAAGAAGATGGATGGATGGATGGATGAAAGGATAGATGGATGGGTGAAAGGGTGGATGGATGGATAGATGGATGGATTGATGGATGGATGGATGGATGGGTGAACGGATGGATGGATGGATGGATGGGTGAAAGGATGGATGGATGGGTACAAGGATGGATGGATGGATTGGTGAAAGGATGGATGGATGGATGGATGGATGAATGAATGGAAGGATGGATGAATCGATGGGTCGATGGTAGATGGGTGGATGGATGGATGAATGGATGGATGGATGGCTGAATGGATGGATGAATGAATGAATGAATGAATGGATGGATGGATTGTTGTATGTATGTATGTATGTATGTATGTATGTATGGATGGATGGATGGATGGATGAATGGTTCGATGGATGGATGGATGGATGGATGGATGGATGGATGGATGGATGGATGGCATTGCTGGCAATTGTCAGTTGGTCAGGATTGAACAGGAGACAGAGAAACTCACCAGAAGTGTTGTCCTTGGGAAAGACTGGAGCCCTCCATAGCGAGGTGACGAAAAGGCGACAGGCAAAGGGGTACGGCCTGGCGCTTTAGAATAACCAACTTCTACCTCATTCTTTAAAAAAAGGGGGAGAACAAGTGCAAATGAACTCGCTGTTTTGGTAAAATTGCCACACGTCTTGGCTATATTTCTTAATTATTTCAGCATGAATAGAAAGGTAAATGTATAATGTTTCACATACCTTCACATATGGCCTGCTCTGTTAATTCTTACTCAAACACATGTTCATAGATATAGTGACAGGAGTTTAAATCCCTCCTGCTATAAAATTGTAACATGTAATTACCCAACACTAGTTACCATGGTGACAGACGTCTGGGTAAGAGCATTTTCTTCATTTGTTTGGAGAAGAAAAAGGGGAAACAGAACAAAAACGATATGTTTTCCTTCGGTAAACATAACATTCGCAAGCCCGTCTCTGTCCTTGGTACTGACAGCGGTGTGTGCCATGTATGTACGTATGTATGTAAATAGTAACAAAATTCTACTCTGATTATTCTCATTCTGTATTACTTTATTAGTTGTATAAGCCTGAAGCTATCTCGCTACGCGGAAATTAAGCACAACCAGTAACCATGGTAACGGCCGGCATGGTGTCTACTGCAGGTCATTGACCTTATTTCTTCGCGGAGGACGTAGCCTACCTAAAACAGTATGTTTCTATGCAGTGAATGTAGATATAAAACTAGAAAGGCCGATATTTGCTCGGAAGCAAATGCAGCAAATGGCTTCACCACGACCACCTCCTGCACGAAATGGATTGTTCCTAAATCACCCCTGTTTAAAATGCGAAGTGTTCCAATAGCCTATACCCCCATGCAGCAATGGAATCTTCCAACGCCTTCTGCTGCCGGAACATGTAGAACCTTCGTGGTGTGGTGAAGCCATAGATAACCGTCATACTGAAAACGAAACCGACTGGGAAGCAAGAAGAGGGCCTATGTGTTTAAAGTTAAGACTTTTGGTCCAACACCAAAAATTCTCTCACCTAGAGCTTTCAACCAGTCACTCTGGTCTTCCTCAGTAGACTGACCCAGTGAAGCTTGTCACGTGGCTTCTTTGAAGTGTGACGTCAACAGAGAGGGAAACAGAGAGGTCTCTAAAAGCCAGGTTTTCAGAACATACACGGCCTAGCTCTGCCAGTTCAGAGGTGTCTCAACACATTCACATAGAGTCACCCGGACATTTTGTTTCACTTGACACTGTAAGGATTTTAGACACTGAACAAGACTATTTCATGAGAGGGGTGAAGGAAGCCATATACATCAAGGCCCATCACCCTACATTGAACCGCGATGGGGGCCGACATGGTCTACCAGATACCTTTGACCCAGTGTTGACGTCACACTTCAAAGAAGCCACGTGACAAGCTTCACTGGGTCAGTCTACTGAGGAAGACCAGAGTGACTGGTCGAAAGCTTTAGGTGAGAGAATTTTTTTGTGTTGGACCAAAAGTTTCAACTTTAAACATGTAACTACCAACACAGATGAACTTTCATGATAGTATAAGAGGACCCATGGTTGTCTCACCTGCATCCAGCGGTCACCTCCGTTCTGCCCAGGCGCAGCAATGGTTAGCCTCACTCCGGCGCGAGTTGTCAGCTGTTGCAGATCCCGGATGAACTGGATATTCTCCTCCGGCTCTAGAACCTCACTTACGAATACCTCACGACAAATAAAGAACAAAATATGAACACAGCATGTCAAGATACGTCGATGAAGGTTAGACATCCAGGTAATACGATATGCCAAAAAAAACAGTTACTCAAGCAACTGGATATGATTTTGAAAACGTCAGACGTTTCAGCTACCCCCGAGGACAGACAACACTTCAGACTAATTTGCATCATCTTGTCTTGACTTGTCTGACTTTTGTTCCTTTTTCGACTTCCAAAAATTTGTCTTCACTTTATTTGCATATCAATCAACAGGTTGTGTATAAACCTGCTTTCCCCTCTGGTCTCTCAGTCACTGACGAAAGCTAGTGGATACTAGCTGAAACGTCTGACGTTTTCAAAATCATATCCAGTTGCTTGAGTAACTGTTTTTTTTGGCATACAGCATGTCAAGGACTGAAAAAAATGGGAAATTTTCATACTGTAATTCTAAAATATTGCTACATTGTCCTTTTATAGCAACGCTCGAAATGAGTTAACTATTCAAACTTCTACAATTTATTCCAATTTTACTAAACTTACAGACAAAGAAAAAAAACTATTCTTCTTTTAACTTCCCCAAGCCCACTAATTTTGGAAAAGGTGGGACATTACGTCTTCCATGGTCTAAAAAAGAGAAGTCAAACCCCTTAGACGTAGTCATAGCTATAGCTTTAGACAACTACCATTTGTCATGTAGATTTTAGTTATTTTATACTCTGTTTCATTGTTCTTTTATGTTTGTAATTTGCAATTAGCCCCCGGGCACGAATTTGCAATAAACTTCTAATTGTGCCAGGACTACTTTTACATACTGTGTACTGTGACCATAGCATTATTACCTCCCTTGGTGGAAGAGTGTTGGGGGTCATGATCCACGGTGCCACACGGAACACGACCGTGTCCTCAAAAATAGGCTCTCCTGATCCCTGGAACAGACAGACCGATGGAAAATGGGAAAAGGTAGCATGCCCGTAGCCAGGATTTTGAATGGGGGGGGGGGGTTCTTCCCACTGATTGAGGGGACCTCGAGCGCCGAAGGCACGAGGATTCTAGGGGGGTCCGAGGGCATGCTCCCCCGGAAAATTTTGAAAAATGAACTTTCTAAACTGGCATTTCGTGCGTTTTTGAGAGGATTTCAAAGAAAAAAAGTCAAAGATAAATTTTTATTTAATGACAAAGGGAGCAGTTTTTCTACGATTCCAGTCTATCTTTTCAAGAAAAATCTTGGACCTTCACATAAAAAGTGGACCAAAAAGTGGACCTTTACATAAAAAGTGAACCAAAAAGTGGACCTTTGAGCCTTCCGAACCCCCCCTGGCTACGGGCATGCACTACCTCTTGGGTCTGGCCTTGTTAGCTTTGGTCCACTCCTCAATATCCGGTACCCCGCCTTGGGGAGCGGACCAAAGCTAACAAGGCTGGACTCCAGCCTACCAAAACGTCAATTTAACATAAAATGATGAGGGTGTTAAGGTACACAGAACGTTGGAGAGGAAAACTTTACGAATCATGATAAGTAAACAAATAAAGGTAATTCTTCAATGAACTAGAAACGTAACATTTGCAAAGCAAATGCATAATGTTTACCTTCACATACTAGTATGGTTTGCTCTGTTAATTCTTACTCAAACAGATTTATATATATGGCGTCAGGAGGCTAAATCCCTCCTGCTATAAAATTGTAACATGATGTAACCCAACACTAGTTACCATGGTGACAGACGTCTGGTTCAGGTCATTGACCATATTTGTTTGGAGAAGAAGAGGAGGAGACAGAGCAAAACAATATGTTTTCCCTGGGTAAACATAATAATCATATACTAGTACCCTCTTGGCTATTACCTTACGCAGAGACAAATGCACTGAAACCTCCCCGTCAAAGTGAACATCCGGGTACTGGAGAGCTTCTACAGCGAAGTCAGACGTCATGACGTCATCCGTGGGGCTCACTTGCCAGTCCAGTTCCGCCATGTTGCCGGCAGCTGGACCAATCACGTGATGGGGGTTCGAACCTGCTGATGTCGGCAGAACCATGGAGTTAGAAGTATCTGTATCTGTATCGATATAGCCGGTATAACCACCCTTCGGCGTAACACACCAGCTTCGCAGGCACGCGGCGCGGCGGCAGCTAGCTATATCACACCGAACGACTTGTTAATTTACACTCAATCTTTGCACATTTAATTGCAGGAGTTGTTTAAAGCTTTCTAGTGATGATGCCCCAACTGTGCTTGGTGGCAACGAGTTCCAGTCTACGATAGTTCTGGGGAAATACGAGTTTTTGAATACCTCAATTCTTGGTTGATAACTCTGATATTTGAAGGCATGACTGTTTCTTGTTCTTTTCTGGGCTGGTATCAGATACTATATAAGTAGTCTAAATCCATGGCAGAACGTACTGCACCTGCACGAAACCCGTTATGTATTATATATATAGTGCATACACGGCGGTCGGTTGCTAGGCTAAAAGTCGCATTACTAGGGAGGTATCGGGTTACAGAACGTGTTCGAACGTGGCCGCGCGGGAGTCCCAGGCCGGCCCGGAGGCAACGGGTAAAATTTGAAAATAAACAAAAGTAATTGGAGAGTAGATACTCGTCAAAATAAAATGTAATAGGTGATTTTGTTTACCTCAAATGTTATTCTTGCACTGCCTTTGCTCCACTTTGTGTACATTTGCTTCCAAATGAGATCAATTTCGGATTTCAAAAAGGGTTCACGAGGACCAAACAACTGATTTTAAGAGGCCCCGAAAATTAAAAATAAGGTTAGATTTTTGGATTTTTAGAACTATCACAGTAAATTTAAACTTTCTGTCTTAGGATTTTTTAATTTTTTAACTAAAACTCGACTTACAGTCAAAAGAAGAGCTAAAAACGCAGTGTTTTAACTTTAAATACCGACAATTCATAATCGCGGCCATATTTAAAAAATCCCTAAGACAGAAATCTGCGGAAATCGTTCCTCTTCCAAACAAGCCCTCAATGGGGTAATTTGAGCGATTTTTGGGAATGGTTAAAATACCATGTTTGCACGCATGCTGTGCCACTTGGATATGGGGACCTGGGTTTTATAACAGCGTCAACAAGAATTCTGACCTTCAAGGTCACCCACGATGACGGCAGTAGCTTCGTTACATGTTACATATCCACAGTAAAATCACGGCATAGATGTAATGTTTTGAAAACGGTTCATATTGGTGGAAAGGTGGATTTTTCCTGTTCCGTGGTTTCCAAGTAAAAAAGGGCTTGAAGTAGCCGGTTGTAGCGGCTTTACTGTAAATGACCGCGGGTAACCCCAGATCGAACGCCCGCTCTATTCGAATGACGTCATATCGAACAAGATTCGCGGGTTCGGGGGATTCGATCTCCATAGTAGCGGAGTGGGACTTTTGGGCGCAAATCTGACCATCGTGATAGCACTTCTCATATAAGGTCGTATTAGCGCAATGAGGTTTACATCCCGTCTGTAGTTTCCAACTGTTATGTCGGAAAAGGTATATCGTCCGCAACAGGCAAAATACTGATGCAACGTTGACCAAAAATCCAACGAAAACCGTGAAAAATGGGGGGGGGGGGTCGCGCAGGCGCAGTACGTTCTGCCGACGTTATCCGATGACGTAACACAAAATGTCTCTCATTTCTTTAAAAAAAAAGATATGAAAGTGTTAACTGAATGGAAGAGTCGATTAGGATTTTATGCTCAAATGCTTACCCCTGTCTTCGAGATGGAATATCCCGATCCTTTGAGCGTTTTCTGGTGACGTATGCAGCCAAACGACGTACTCTTTGGGCAAGGATGTAGGTCCACGCATGCGCACTGTCATCGGGCTCATGTCTCTAAGATCTGATGAAGGAAGTAAATGACGTATTATTAGTTCACTTTGTGTCATCATAGAGTTGAGATACAAAAATCTACGCTTCCACTCGCGATAGTGACATCATAACAGTTACTACTAGTATATCATTCATAGATGCAAACCGTTTATACAAACACCCTTTAAAAGTAGAGGAAAAAACATCATTGGCATTTATGCTGGAGTCACATTTCAAGCGGGGCCCGCGCGGTATGTTCCCGATCTCGACGCTGGCCGGCGTCATGAAGCCGGACGGACGCCGGCTGTCCTGTGGTCACAGTTAGGTCACGACTTCGTCTCGGCGTATTTTCCTCGCCGGGGCCCGGGGTGATTTTAAGTTCGTGTTAAATTCAACTAGGCGCCCGCGCGGAGTCAAGAAATAGGCCGGCAGCCGTCGGGACCCCCACTGGGCCACGTCGGGGTCCCGTCCGATAGTGGAAAAAAATATCATACATATGGTCAGGAGTATAAATCCCTCCTACTATAAAATTGCAGCATTATGTAACCCAACACCAGTTACCATGGTGAGAGACGTCAAGGCAACAAATCAGGTCATTGACCAGGTCAGAGGTCAGTGTTTGGAGAAGAAGAAGAGGAGGAAACGTGGCCAAAACAATGTGTTTTTCTTCGGTAAACATGAAACAGCCCGCCATTTTTTTAATCGTGACCTAGGTATTAGAAAGCTGTACCCATATCTCCGTCGACAGCGCTATTCCTGTTGTCAGGGTACTTGTCTGTGGTGAGGTCATCGTTGTCGTTGTTGACAAGTAGAATGGCGCCGCTACCTCCCGGTCCCCATTTCCACTGGCTCTTCAGGTCAACAGCCTAGTAGTTAATCCGTGAAAAGTTTCATCAGGTTGGTAAGACACTGAGTAAAGAGACTCTTTTTACACAACCAAGTCTTTCATTCAGCAGATGTTTCGGTGACCGTCTGTCACCTTCCTCAGGGCAATTCTGACTGGTTCACATTGCATTGCAATGCTAGCACAGGTGTCGCTGATATAGATGCATTCCTAAACGCAAAATATTTACATATCTACACACATGCGTGATTACAGCTAGGGAATTGTATCTACAATGCGGTTCCAAACGTACGGGAGTTGGATATATTGTACGTTTGGGAATGCAACTATAGCAGCGGCACCTGTGCTGCAATGCAATGTGAACCAGTCAAAATTGCCCTGAGAAAGGTGACAGACGGTCACCGATACATCGGCTGAATGAAAGACTTGGTTGTGTAAAAAGAATCTCTTTACTCAGCCTACAGTTTAATTCGGGACTCAGCTCCATATCCTAGCGACCGTACATCTAGATGGGCTATATCGTAAAGTATGGGTAAAAATTATGTATCAGGCGAAAATCAATGCGCACTGATGTCATCCATAAAAATTACTTGCTGTGGCCTTAGTTACTGCGTGATGAATATTCTTGGTTATTCCTGGTGATTTAGTTACATTGATATGGTCGGCTTCTGTAATGTGGCAACTGTTGCTACCAGGTAATGACCGAACGATTTATTCTTAAGGAGTACCATTGATGGGTTCTCCTCGTCTATCGAACCGTCCCTGTCCACGTCAACGTCCAGAGACAACTGATACACAGTCAGCACCAGGGTTGCTGATCCAACATGGCGGCCGGCTTCGTCCAAGATCTCAAATGCAATCTTGAACACAGTACCATTGGAAAATGCATCAACATCAGTGTTAGACATTTAAATATAACTAAGAAAGTAGCATCAACAAATTCAATGTATGTGCTTAATAGTATGTTCCTGCTCATCACAATTTAATTCAGAATCATTATCAAGAACTGAAGAAGAAAAAGATACACACTAGGTTAATCAGGCACCAATGTAGATTCAACTTGTTCAACCCTCAAAGTACCGGGGGTTTTTGCGACGAATCTTACAGTATGGGCTCAAAACTGACCCCGTAATGTTTTGCACGAATATAGTTTTAATGGCTCTTTTTTGTGATGTTTAAGTATGTATAGTTTCATTAATCTATGAGGGACAGTTTGACATGACTGGGTGTGAATGATTATTGGTAATTATCATAATTTATGCACATCACAGTTTTGACCCCATTCACCAATTTCACACTTCCCATAATGCCTAGTAACGGTCACGGACATGACGTAAGACCACCCCCTCCCCCTTCCTGGATGTAATATTTCCAACAAGTTCTATCGCCAAACTGGTCAACTATTGTTTTGAATTATTTCTCTAGTATAAAGCGCATGCCATAATTGCATTTTTGTTGGAATTAGAGAAAATGACGTACCTTCTATCCTTCTATTAATATACGTAATGCGTAATTCAGTAGAAGATAGAACGATAGAAGGTAGTCGTCATTTTCTCTAATTCCAACAAAAATTCAATTATGGCATGCGCTTTATACTAGAGAAATAATTCAAAACAATAATTGACCAGTTTGTCGATAGAACTTGTTGGAAATACTAGAGAGGCCGACATTTGCTTGGGAGCAAATACTGCATATTTCAGTCCATCTCCTTCCCACGCAAAAGTGGACTATTCCAAACTTACCCCAGTGTAAAACTGGCAAAGAGTCTCAAATAAATGAATTATATAGTAGCTATGTAATCGAGAACAAAGATGCAAGAACAAGCACATTGAATCTCGAAAGCTTTACTAGTCTTATTACAGGTATGCAAATACTAACAATGATGAGATTTGATACATTTTGAAGGTCTTAGGCACATAAAATTGAATGTGTGGGTCATTACGCACGACTTACGTGCAATGTGACCCCAGGTAACCCGCAATGGAACACGTGTTCCATGGCCAGCGGCAGATGGAACGTGCCATTCTTTAGATAGAACATGGAACGGGTATAGCACTTTTGGCCCTTTTTTTGCTGAAAATAGCCATTAAACTCCCCCAAATGAGTCATTTGGAAGTGGTGTATGCCAAATATGTGACTGCTATTCTGTAGACGCATGTTCAAGGTACCCTTATACCGAATTTCAGGTCATTTGGCTGAATGATGGCTGAGTTGAATCCCTTTGACTGTGTGGCAGGAGAAGGAGAAGAAGAAACATCAGAGAACACAATATATTTCATCCATACCATGGTATGGACTGAAATATAATTACATCGAGGAAGGGGAGGGGTCTTACGTCATATCCGTGACCGTTACTAGGTATTATGGGAAGTGTGAAATTGGTGAATACGGTGGTTTAAGGGTAAAAGCTGCATGGTTCTTTGTAAATCACTTTCGTAGACGATGTCTTGTCAAACAGTGGAATTAGCGTAAACTGACCAATTCGTTGTCTGCTTTAATGCTGGGAAGACGGCAATACACGATCACAGTTGTTTTCCCATCATGCACCACACCGGATGTGACGTTGACCTTATCTGTCATGTAGTAAGGTGTGACCCGGTAGACCTCGTGTACTTTCTCTGCCCTGACATGAAGTCGCATAAAGTAAGAACATTATACTATATCATATGGATTGTTATGTAACAGAAAAATAGTCAATATCCAGTTTGAGCATAAGGCCACACCAAGTAAATTTTATGGATGACGTCCGCGCGCGCATTGATTTTGGCCTGTTCCTAGAAAAAAAACAAGAAATTCCGCTTCCTGTAACTATGACCAAAGAGTCACGACAGTGCAGCAAATAGGTTTGTACGGACCAAAGCTTAAGAAGCATCAAACAAGGAAATCATGACTTCCTTTAGGAATTCAGTTTGGTACATCCTGCCACATCCTCCCATCTATCTCCCCAAAGCACAGGATGACAACTGCTGTTCCACCTGATTTATTGTTGTTTTGATGATGGATAAAAGACTTCTTGCTTGTTACACTGTGTCACCTCATTCAATTTGTGTCCTAACATTTGTCGTCTCTTAGAATATTTCTAATCTAGGCATCTTGTTTTTTAGGGCCCTTCTTGTTTTTTTCGCCCTCTTGCATTAGATTTATGGTCTCCAAAGGACGTCATCCATAAAATTTACTTGGTGTGGCTTAATACATGTGAATACAAAGTTGACAACCTCAAGTTAGCAAGATGTTGTACTAAGCATTTTTAGTGTTAGAAATACTTTTTTCAGTGTTCAGCAATATTGCAGAAATTCAAAATATTTTGTTCTACACTTAAAATTCAGGATCTAAACCCATGGCACAAACAAAATTGCATGTTGGCAAATAGTTACATGCAATTTTAAAAATACATACAAAATTACTAGTATATTATAGAGTCAGTAGTAAACACAAAGCTATTTCACCATGCGGCATTGAACCCCAAGCCTGATTTTTTTCAGTCTGCAAAATTTCAGGTTGCTTAATTTTTCTTCTGAAATATCAAAAATGTCCCTGCAATATGGAGAATGAAGATGGGTATTTCTAACACTAATTTTGTAGGTCAAATCTTTTTAAGGGCAGACCAAGGAAATTATACAAGAAGGTCCTTGGGCAAACGAAGAGGTATGGTAAGTACCTGATGTCCACAGAAAGGTGTTGTCCGACAAGCGCTATGTCATACACAGTCTCTCCCATATTTACGGTCACCCAACGAGCCGTTCTCGACGCCGTTTCTGCCATTACCGGACAGGGGATGACAGTCTCAATACGTTCAGTAGATGCCAGCTAAAATACAAAACATAACATTCTAGCGAAAGCAATAACATTATTGATACCGCCCTTGGTGGAAGAGTGACGATGCTCTACAACCTCACTCATCAATACCTTAAGACAAATAAAGAGCAAAAAATGAAAAAAACAACAGGTCAAGAATGAAAGAATAGGAAATTTTCATACTGTAATTCTACAATATTGCTACACATTTCGAGGTCATTCAACACACACGCACACACAAACACAAAAAAGTTTCTGCAAACTATTGTGGCTACATTTAGTAAACATGAAACAACAACAAAAAAGTTGGTAAACGTTTTAACTTACGTTTGTATTTACGTTACAGTTTATATATAGTAAGACATTTTCCAGAATTGCTCAGTTGACATTATCCTTGTTTAAAAGGCGTTTACATGTGTAATTTCTTTACCTCTTCACGGATCCTAACACAATGAATTATGAGAAACAATGACAGAATGATAGTTCAACTGGGAATGCAAAGTGAGTTTAGTACACACCGATTGCTTCACGATATCGCCAGCCCGAGGCTTGACGGGAACGGCGGCCATGTTGAAAATCGAGAAGAGCAACAGAACTGCGTTCCCTGCCAGAACCAGCATCAACATCGACTCCATCAGCGACGGACGCATGGCCAACAGTCGGTATCCTACGGGAAAGGTTTAATAAAGAATCTATGTACGCTCCAAAGCCCCTGTCGTGTGGCGTAACCGCAGAGTGCTCGACTCAGAACCAAGAGGTCCCGGGTTCGGGTCCTAACATGCCATCAATCTTGTGTCCTTGGGAAAGGCACTTTCCACGACCAAGCCTGCGAGCCGACTCCCTCCCAACATCTGCCCGACTTATTTACGATCCGGTCAAGCACGCCGACAACCTACAACACCACATCAGACGTATTGACATCTCAAAGCAGGAATATACTGGGTACTGGAGGATGATTAGATGTTGGAAAAAAAACAATGAAACGCCACACATGACTGTCCACCATTCTAGTTTTACCATCTGATTAGCCTGAGTTGTCTGTGCGACTAGAAAGTCGGTCATATGCTTATAATAACACGTGTCTTAGTTTCCTTAATACTGGGGCTTCAGCATTTTTTAAGGCTCGGTCACATTTCCAAGCCGGGCCCGGTCGGGCAGTTGTATGGAACGAAAATTATAAGACAGCAAAACACAGAAAAAGTTTTAGAAAATCAACCATGAGCACTATGTGTAAACTCTTAATACAGATTGTTTATTTTTCGTTCACGCAAACAACCCGGCCGGGCCCCGGCTTGGAAATGTGACCGTGCCCTTACACGGATGTCTTCTCTTGAGAAAAATTGAAATTTTGTCAAAAATTTATCCGAGCAGCCATGCAGAAAACTAACAACTGCAAAATGTTTTTTTGCTACGTCTTCAAAATATATCTCACTGGAGGATAAACCGGTCTCTCTACATGTTGAATATGCATGAAGCTAGTCTATTGTTTAAAAGCATCACAACAACCTGTGCATGTAGAATTTGGGGCATGTGTCGCCTGGAGGGAGCAAAGAATATTTCTCCGCGTCGGTGAGGTGCACGCAGTAGCTCGTCCTCTCTTCCACTTTTGCTGTTTGTTCGAGTCCATAAGACAGACTTCCACCATGACGGACAAGATGGACATGTCTCTTGACGACATCATCAAGCTCAACAAGCCCGCGCGCGGTAGAGGCCGTGGTGGCGGCCGGGGACGAGGAGGTGGCCGGGGACGCGGCGCTAGTCGAGGCCGTGGCGGCGGTGGTGGCGGCTTCAGTGCCGGAGGTGGCGGCGGTGGCCCCATGAGGAGGGGAAGACGGGGCGGTGCTAGGTCAGCTCCGTACTCTAGGGTAGGTATTCCCCGTCCTTTGTAGACCGAACATCTCCTGTTCATGTTCTGTCAACAAGTTTTACAAACCGGATATCGTCATCAGTCCTGGCTACGCCATGTTAGCGTCATCATGGCCACCACTGACAAAGAAATCCGGGGTGGACGTTTTGAAACGGAGACTTGACGAGTCAAGGGACTGCTAGATCCCAGGTTTTGATATCTACCCGTCAATTGTGTTTATTACTCGGTCCATCTTCCACCACGTGGGTCAGTTTCTCCAGGTTCTGAAGTTACTAGTATTACATGAACACGAGATTTGCCCCCTCCACGACATGAAACAGGATACATGCAAAAT